CTATATAGTTTAAGTTTAAAAAATTGGGCTCTCAAAAGAAATTTCAATCGTTGTACTGCTGATATTTGGCTCTGTTGGCTAATGAGTTTGCCGACCACTGCCCTAGACCACTGTCCTTGAAGTCTCATGAATTGTGTTGGGGGGGCGGGCGGTGGGCGCTGGGAAGCACACAGCACCAGGTGGCCTTTGCCGTCCTCTGACCTCCTCTGGAAGGTTCTTCCCCCAGCCCACCCATTGGTGACCTCACACTCATTACTCCACTATCAGATGGGGAAACCGAGGCCCAACGTTCGGGTGTGGTTCAGAAAATTTGAATAGGTGCTCAGTGATGAATATTTGTTGACTAAATGAGTGAGTCAGAGATAAATTTCAGCAGGTGTCTAGAGCCTTCCATCGTGCGAACTGCAAGGGCCCCTGAGGCTCCTAACCAGGGCGTGTGAGTAAAGAGCGGAAGGTGGGCAGGTGAGCGACCTGTGGCAGGGCCTGTGTTTGTGTCTTTGTCTCTGGAGGTTGTCCATAACATTGTCATCAATCTTTCAAATGGGGTTGCAGATCCAAATACGTTTAAGAGCCCTGATTCAACCTCTACCCCATTTTACAGGCAGGGAAATTGAGTTCAAGTCACACCGGCTGTCAGTGGCAGCGAGCCTCCTGCACATGCCATGGGCATAGCTGGAAATGCCAGCATCTGCCTTTCACCCCTACCTCCTTCTTCCCCTCCCGTCTGACTCCCAGCGAGGCCTCCACCAACTCTATCCTTCCTCCAGCTTCTCCTTGGGAAGCGCAGAGAATGCACTGCATCCCGGAAGTCCTTCTGGAGTCAGGAGACCTGGTCCCAGTTCTTAGAACTTAATTTTTCAGGTGTGTGTGTGACTGTTCAGTTGATAGCAGGTAAGCAGGGACAGCAAAATTACAATCTCAGGAACACCTAGTACGCATCAAAGAATATTTGGCCAAAAACTGCTTAGAGGTAAATTTATGACCTTAAATATGTTTATTTTAAAAAAAAAACATAAGAAAGACTTTTTAAATAAACTAAATTTTCACTTCAACAGAGAAGAAATTAATTTTTTAAAAATCAAAACACTCCTGAAACATTAAAAAGAAAATAATGAAATAAATGTCTTTTAAGACAGACCTATGGCAAATAAGATCAAAAGGCCCAACTGAGTGACACTGAGACAGAACTGCAGACGATATGAACTCAGATCACGTGAGAGTTTCAAACGACGAGAGAATATTCCACGGCGTTCTAGCCATGAATTTGAAAACTGGGATGGGACGGACATATTCTGGCACTGGCTTCCAATTTGAATGAGCACCCGAATCACCTGGAGGGCTTGTTAAGCTCAGATTGCTGAGCTCGACCCCCCGTTTCTCATTCAGTGGGTCTGGGCGGGGGTCCAAGAATGTGCCTGTCTAACAAACTCCCAGGTGAGGCTGCCACTGGCCTGGGAACACACTTTGAGAACCACTGTCCCAGGGATTGTGGCTGCCCGTTTACTCCCCTCCTGACTGCTCTGCTCTGTCTGGGTCAGGAAGGAGAGGGTTTGTGACCATTGGCCCCACGTGCCTACTGCCGCCTGACGGACATCCCGGCCTCAGACAGCCACCCCGGGCCTCAGACAGCCACCCTGGGCCTCAGACAGCCACCCTTTCCTGCCAGGCACTGTGTCGAATGCTTTCACCGGAAGAGCTCATGTAATCCCATGACGTGAGTCCTGTTGCTTTACCCGACGGGGAAACGGAGGCACAAGGAGGATGATAATTCCTTGAACCCACAGCTGGTAAACAGGTGGGAATCCAATTCTGAGCACTGGGCTACTCTCCATGCCCTGGGAGCGTTGTCATCCACCCCACCCACAGCGTCTCCCTAGTTCTGTGCCCACATACTCGTGGGGCGGGCCTCCTTGTCCCAATTGAACAGACCGGGAAGTGGCAAGGACAGGCCTGGACCCAGGGCTCTGGAAGCCAGGAGGGCGGGGGAACTGGTGAGGCCCCTGAGTGGGGCCTGGGAGTCCCGTGAGCTCCCTGACCCTCAGTTCCCTCGTCAGGTAAAAAGCGGGATCAGTAATGGTCCTTTCCTCACAGGGTTCTTGTGAGGAGCAAGCCAGTGCCCCTTCCTGCCTGGCACACACCACGCTCTCCACCTCCGGCAGCTGGGCTGCTGGCATTGAAGTTACTGTTATCGAACCGCCCGCTTCTCACGGGCGGGCGCTTCATCTCATTTACTTCTCACAGCCACCCTGGGGGTAGCGTACCCTTTCCGTGCCACAAATAAGGAAAACGAGGCTCCAGGAGGGGCAATGAGGGGCCCAACAGCCCCCCCACTCCCACCAGAGGCAGAGCCGGAATTAGAAGCGGAGGCCGGGCCTTCTACTCCATCTGCAGGTGCCTGTCCCTGGAGGGAGTGGCGGAGGCCCCGCCCCAGGCTGCCAGCGCCTCCTTCTCCCCACCCAATACTGAGGCTCCAGGAGAGGTAAAGACTTGCCCAAGGCCGCTCAGCCAGCGGGGCCCTGCCGCAGGGACCCAGGCCTGGAGATCCCGAATTCTGAGGCCTCCCCTTTGTCCAGGCGGATGATTAGGAAGAATCCCCCACAGGCGGCCTCCTGCCCTTCCTGACCCTCTGAGACTGACCCCACGGGAGACAAAACCATCCTTCTCCCCAAGATGCAGAGTTTCCGCAAATAAAATCAAACTGCAAACAAATAAACAAGAATAATAAGAATCATCCATCAACCATCACGTTGGGGGGGGAGGGGTCGGGCACAGCTGCTGGCTGGGTGCCTACTGTGTGCCAGGCCCAGCCCTGCGCCCTCAACGCCTCACTCCCGGCTCAGACAATCCCGCAATGCACGCGCTGCTCTTTTTACAAATGAGCAAACCAAAGCCGAAAGGCATGGAGTCACTTGCTCAAGGTCACTCAGCTAGGAAGTGACCGGCCGGATTTAAACTCATCCCTGGCCAACCGCACATCCTACCTCTCCCCAAGTCCGCCAGGCGGGAGCGCGAGGGAGAGGCCTGGCCGGGGGTGTAGCAGTGAGTTTGCACCCAGCCGTTTAAGAACTAGCGGGTGGAGAACGATTCTGCAGGTCTCCCCCAGGGGAGACAGCTGAGGCTGGCGTGGGGGTGACCGCCAGGCCGTCCATCGTGCCCCTCGGCCTGCCCCTCAGCCCCCGAGGGCTCGAGCAAAGCAGGGAGTGGTTCCAGCGCCCGGGCTGCACTGGAGCGGGAGGAGTTCACCGCTCTCCTTACCCCAAGAAATCCCGCTATTTGCCCTAAATATTCGCAACCCCCGCCCTGGCCCCTTGGGAACCCTAGGTCCCCACACCTGCTGCGCCACGGGCGGGTCCCCATGCGCGACTAACAGTCCCGACCATCTTGCAACGAATTTCGAGGGGCCGGATCCCCGCTCCCCACCGGGCCACCCCGGGTCCCTAGCCCAGCCGGGCCAGGCACGCGTGGGCACCTGTGAGTCACTCCTCGGTCCGCCTGGCGGGAGCCAGGGAGTGTCTCCAAAGTGGTCGCGATGCCGCGGCCGAAGCCCAGGCGGGGGCGAATTCTGCCCACGCGGGTCGGTGTCCTTGGAAGCGAGGAGCACGCTGTGGTGCTCGCGTCACCCCGCGCGCAAGGAGCGCGCAGCTGGCACCCCGGGGCGCGCCCCTTTCGTTGCTCCCGCGGCGCTGGAGTGTCCAAGATGCGTCCACGGATCTGCAGGGTCGTCCCGGGGTTGCAACTCCATTGTGATGGAAAGGATTCATAGGGTTTGGTTTTTGCTCAGATGAAAAAATTGGGAAGAAAACGAAAACCCCTTCAGCAAAGGAGAATTTCACCAGGAGAGCGAGCGCCCAGACCGGCCCCGAGCTGCGGCGGGGAAGCGGCCCGGCCGGGAGGAGCGGGGAGCGTCTGCTAATTGCAGCTTCGTTAGATTTCGGGCTTGGGAGGCTGCGGTTCGGGCGCTAATATCCGCCGCCCATTATCCCGGCTAATAAATTTGACCTATTGTTCGTTTGTTAAAATGATGTCACCTTGGAACAGTCCCTAAGCTCCTATTTCCATGAATTAGGCCTTTATTGAAAGCCGAGAGCCAATGGGAGGAGAGAGGCTTGTTGATCGCAGCCAATGGCTGCGGCGGGAGAGGAATTAGCAGCGGAAACTCCAGGTTCGGTTCAAGAAAGATGACACAGAGCCTGTCGGGCCCGCGCACTCTTGGCAAAGTTTCAGTGCGACGAGAGGCGCCGGGCGCTCCATGGCCGCGCCGTGCCTG